AAAACACTTACCTGCTACATTAGTTCAGCAGTCATTGATTCAGACAGCCATCAGTTGATGTTACTATTGTACAGTGAAAAACACTTACCTGCTACATTAGTTCAGCAGTCATTGATTCAGACAGCCATCAGTTGATGTTACTATTGTACAGTGATAAAACACTTACCTGCTACATTAGTTCAGCAGAGTCATTGATTCAGACAGCCATCAGTTGATGTTACTATTGTACAGTGATAAAACACTTACCTGCTAACATTAGTTCAGCAGAGTCATTGATTCAGACAGCCATCAGTTGATGTTACTATTGTACAGTGATAAAAACACTTACCTGCAACATTAGTTCAGCAGAGTCATTGATTCAGACAGCCATCAGTTGATGTTACTATTGTACAGTGATAAAAACACTTACCTGCTACATTAGTTCAGCAGAGTCATTGATTCAGACAGCCATCAGTTGATGTTACTATTGTACAGTGATAAAAACACTTACCTGCTACATTAGTTCAGCAGTCATTGATTCAGACAGCCATCAGTTGATGTTACTATTGTACAGTGATAAAAACACTTACCTGCTACATTAGTTCAGCAGAGTCCTTGATTCAGACAGCCATCAGTTGATGTTACTATTGTACAGTGATAAAAACACTTACCTGCAACATTAGTTCAGCAGTCATTGATTCAGACAGCCATCAGTTGATGTTACTATTGTACAGTGATAAAAACACTTACCTGCTACATTAGTTCAGCAGTCATTGATTCAGACAGCCATCAGTTGATGTTACTATTGTACAGTGATAAAAACACTTACCTGCTACATTAGTTCAGCAGTCATTGATTCAGACAGCCATCAGTTGATGTTACTATTGTACAGTGATAAAACACTTACCTGCTACATTAGTTCAGCAGAGTCATTGATTCAGACAGCCATCAGTTGATGTTACTATTGTACAGTGATAAAACACTTACCTGCTACCTTAGTTCAGCAGTCATTGATTCAGACAGCCATCAGTTGATGTTACTATTGTACAGTGATAAAAACACTTACCTGCTACATTAGTTCAGCAGAGTCATTGATTCAGACAGCCATCAGTTGATGTTACTATTGTACAGTGATAAAAACACTTACCTGCTACATTAGTTCAGCAGTCATTGATTCAGACAGCCATCAGTTGATGTTACTATTGTACAGTGATAAAAACACTTACCTGCTACATTAGTTCAGCAGAGTAATGGATTCAGACAGCCATCAGTTGATGTTACTATTGTACAGTGATAAAAACACTTACCTGCTACATTAGTTCAGCAGAGTCATTGATTCAGACAGCCATCAGTTGATGTTACTATTGTACAGTGATAAAAACACTTACCTGCTACCTTAGTTCAGCAGTCATTGATTCAGACAGCCATCAGTTGATGTTACTATTGTACAGTGATAAAAACACTTACCTGCTACATTAGTTCAGCAGTCATTGATTCAGACAGCCATCAGTTGATGTTACTATTGTACAGTGATAAAAACACTTACCTGCTACATTAGTTCAGCAGAGTAATGGATTCAGACAGCCATCAGTTGATGTTACTATTGTACAGTGATAAAAACACTTACCTGCTACATTAGTTCAGCAGTCATTGATTCAGACAGCCATCAGTTGATGTTACTATTGTACAGTGATAAAAACACTTACCTGCTACATTAGTTCAGCAGAGTCCTTGATTCAGACAGCCATCAGTTGATGTTACTATTGTACAGTGATAAAAACACTTACCTGCTACATTAGTTCAGCAGAGTAATGGATTCAGACAGCCATCAGTTGATGTTACTATTGTACAGTGATAAAAACACTTACCTGCTACCTTAGTTCAGCAGTCATTGATTCAGACAGCCATCAGTTGATGTTACTATTGTACAGTGATAAAAACACTTACCTGCTACATTAGTTCAGCAGAGTCATTGATTCAGACAGCCATCAGTTGATGTTACTATTGTACAGTGATAAAAACACTTACCTGCTACATTAGTTCAGCAGTCATTGATTCAGACAGCCATCAGTTGATGTTACTATTGTACAGTGATAAAAACACTTACCTGCTACATTAGTTCAGCAGTCATTGATTCAGACAGCCATCAGTTGATGTTACTATTGTACAGTGATAAAAACACTTACCTGCTACATTAGTTCAGCAGTCCTTGATTCAGACAGCCATCAGTTGATGTTACTATTGTACAGTGATAAAAACACTTACCTGCTACATTAGTTCAGCAGAGTCATTGATTCAGACAGCCATCAGTTGATGTTACTATTGTACAGATATAAAACACTTACCTGCTACATTAGTTCAGCAGAGTCCTTGATTCAGACAGCCATCAGTTGATGTTACTATTGTACAGTGATAAAAACACTTACCTGCTACATTAATTCAGCAGAGTCATTGATTCAGACAGCCATCAGTTGATGTTACTATTGTACAGTGATAAAAACACTTACCTGCTACCTTAGTTCAGCAGAGTCATTGATTCAGACAGCCATCAGTTGATGTTACTATTGTACAGTGATAAAAACACTTACCTGCTACATTAGTTCAGCAGAGTCATTGATTCAGACAGCCATCAGTTGATGTTACTATTGTACAGTGATAAAAACACTTACCTGCTACATTAGTTCAGCAGAGTCCTTGATTCAGACAGCCATCAGTTGATGTTACTATTGTACAGTGATAAAAACACTTACCTGCTACATTAGTTCAGCAGTCATTGATTCAGACAGCCATCAGTTGATGTTACTATTGTACAGTGATAAAAACACTTACCTGCAACATTAGTTCAGCAGTCATTGATTCAGACAGCCATCAGTTGATGTTACTATTGTACAGTGATAAAACACTCACCTGCTACATTAGTTCAGCAGAGTCATTGATTCAGACAGCCATCAGTTGATGTTACTATTGTACAGTGATAAAAACACTTACCTGCAACATTAGTTCAGCAGAGTCATTGATTCAGACAGCCATCAGTTGATGTTACTATTGTACAGTGATAAAACACTTACCTGCTACATTAGTTCAGCAGTCATTGATTCAGACAGCCATCAGTTGATGTTACTATTGTACAGTGATAAAACACTTACCTGCTACATTAGTTCAGCAGAGTCATTGATTCAGACAGCCATCAGTTGATGTTACTATTGTACAGTGATAAAACACTTACCTGCTACATTAGTTCAGCAGTCATTGATTCAGACAGCCATCAGTTGATGTTACTATTGTACAGTGATAAAACACTTACCTGCTACATTAGTTCAGCAGTCATTGATTCAGACAGCCATCAGTTGATGTTACTATTGTACAGTGATAAAACACTTACCTGCTACATTAGTTCAGCAGTCATTGATTCAGACAGCCATCAGTTGATGTTACTATTGTACAGTGATAAAACACTTACCTGCTACATTAGTTCAGCAGTCATTGATTCAGACAGCCATCAGTTGATGTTACTATTGTACAGTGATAAAACACTTACCTGCTACATTAGTTCAGCAGTCATTGATTCAGACAGCCATCAGTTGATGTTACTATTGTACAGTGATAAAAACACTTACCTGCTACATTAGTTCAGCAGTCATTGATTCAGACAGCCATCAGTTGATGTTACTATTGTACAGTGATAAAAACACTTACCTGCTACATTAGTTCAGCAGTCATTGATTCAGACAGCCATCAGTTGATGTTACTATTGTACAGTGATAAAAACACTTACCTGCTACATTAGTTCAGCAGAGTCCTTGATTCAGACAGCCATCAGTTGATGTTACTATTGTACAGTGATAAAAACACTTACCTGCTACATTAGTTCAGCAGTCATTGATTCAGACAGCCATCAGTTGATGTTACTATTGTACAGTGATAAAAACACTTACCTGCTACATTAGTTCAGCAGAGTAATGGATTCAGACAGCCATCAGTTGATGTTACTATTGTACAGTGATAAAAACACTTACCTGCTACATTAGTTCAGCAGTCATTGATTCAGACAGCCATCAGTTGATGTTACTATTGTACAGTGATAAAAACACTTACCTGCTACATTAGTTCAGCAGTCATTGATTCAGACAGCCATCAGTTGATGTTACTATTGTACAGTGATAAAAACACTTACCTGCTACATTAGTTCAGCAGAGTCATTGATTCAGACAGCCATCAGTTGATGTTACTATTGTACAGTGATAAAAACACTTACCTGCTACATTAGTTCAGCAGAGTCATTGATTCAGACAGCCATCAGTTGATGTTACTATTGTACAGTGATAAAAACACTTACCTGCTACATTAGTTCAGCAGTCATTGATTCAGACAGCCATCAGTTGATGTTACTATTGTACAGTGATAAAAACACTTACCTGCTACATTAGTTCAGCAGTCATTGATTCAGACAGCCATCAGTTGATGTTACTATTGTACAGTGATAAAAACACTTACCTGCTACATTAGTTCAGCAGTCATTGATTCAGACAGCCATCAGTTGATGTTACTATTGTACAGTGATAAAAACACTTACCTGCTTCATTAGTTCAGCAGAGTCCTTGATTCAGACAGCCATCAGTTGATGTTACTATTGTACAGTGATAAAAACACTTACCTGCTACATTAGTTCAGCAGAGTCATTGATTCAGACAGCCATCAGTTGATGTTACTACCCAGGTAGCATGCCATCATCGGCCCGATGTCGGCTGATAGTCGGCACCGTCGGCTAAAATCGGCATCGTTGAACAGCGCTTGGCCGACAGCGGGCCAATGTAATCCAGATAACACATAACATTTTCCAAACATGTTCATAAAGTTTCAAACTGATTTAACAAAAATATTTTCGTCAAAACACAGTCACAATCTTAAAACAATTCTCTCAACTATTTAAAAGCATTAATTATTCATTTAATTATTAAAAGTTGTTCATGAAGAAAGAAATGTTACCGCGGGAAAGGACGTCGGAATGATGTCACACCGTCACGTCATATTTTCGCACCCGCCATCTTAGTTGAAGTTTGTTGAGGACGGTACAACAATGTCATTGTGCAGCAACAAATGGAATAGTATCATCGATCTGACCTCGGTTGCGGTAAGTTAACTTTACAGTCACTACACGGTTGTTGTTATGTTTATGTACATTTTGATATTCACTCGATCGTGCTACTCAGAAATCGCGATGTATTGAGCAGCCGTACAACGATCTGTTAGATTCGGTGTTGTTAGGCTTCCAACAGAAAGTATTATGTATGTTGTTGTGAAGGGGACCTAAGGGAGTTTGCACCATATTAATTTTATGTTGGATACAAAATTTTATTCAGCTATCAATGGCAAGCAGTATGTTCTTAACCAGAGTTCATGTCAGGTGGACATTTGTTGCTATTATGTTCGGTTTTCGATCTAGTAAGCGTATGCACAGCTCACAATCCAGTGACACTTATTATCGGCATTAATTTTGTTCCATGTTATTTCTGAAATAAATATTTTTTAATTCAACATTACACCTTACTATCAAATTTCTAATCTATGAACAGTTTGCTCACTTCAGTCGGTGGGAAAAGTTGCATCAAACTTATAACACGAAAATGGGGAATCAAATACTTTCTGGTCCACCTGACTGTAGGCTATTAGTTACTGTCATAGTCTAAGTATCCCATTATTTAAAATGAATGTTCAGTCAGAAATGACCGAAGCATACTTGGTAAGTTACTGTAACACTGACTACACTAAATGTTGATCATCCCCATGGTTGTTGTGGTTTTGCTTGTCTAACATTCCCACGTTATTTTCTGTAAAATGCTAGGTCTACATTATCAAAGTAAAGTGTTTACATTGTGTATTCTTCAATTTTCCCCAAACGAATCAGTTTATCATTTTCGGACATTTATATTTCTCTTCTAAACGAGAGCCAGAAATAAATATGTTTCCAGCTATAACGGGCGTTGGCGATGACCGGTCCTCGGCAATGTTCATTCGGTTTTCAATCACCATGGTTTTTTCATGATACGGTATTAATTATTCAAATTTACTTAGTCTTTGTTCAGGATATGTAGACCAAATAAATTTATTATGGTTTACTTGGTTCACGAAACATTTTGCCAATGAAAAAAAATATAGTGATGAAAACTGAACGAATCTGGTTACAATGCTACGCAATCGAAATCATACTGCAGCAGTAACTGTCCCGCATGTAAGACGTGAATCATGTAGCTAGTTACAATAGCTATTTAAGTTATCAATTCAAGTTTGTATTCAAGGTTAGAATGTATAGAAGCGCTGTCCAGTAGTCCATGTCTGTTGTAAAGGGGCAGAGTTATTTCCAACCCAAATTTATACACGTTGGTGTTAAATCTACACACGTTGACCCCCAAAAACTTTAGGCTATAATTATTACACAATATATTTCAGCATCGGACTAACTAGATTTATATATGCTTGGGGAATCTAGTTCAAGTTGTAACTTGTTATAATGTGGAACATTGTTATTTTTGTTGCAGCAAGGGCGAATATGAGACACAAGAATTCCGGCAGATGCAAACAGAAGTGATGGATTTATTGAGGATTACATCAAATAATCCAGGAGCTGTGAATCAGTAAACGTAAGTGCATCTGTTAAATGTCATTGTCTATATACTTGTTGGTGACGTTTTGGCTTTTTATTGCAAAAAATGGATTTGTACCTGCACTCAGCCTCCTGACCAACAAGAGTGGTGGGGTAGTGGTTGCTATGCAGTGTGATTTGATAATATTATATATATATATTCAAGGATTTCCATTATTTACCATTGTGTGCTGGTGTCCATCAAACACTTGCATATACATAGGTGCTGGAAGACTTCATTAACTGATTATTGTCTCTTGATTTGACTTAATACACATACTATACATTTGTTTTCTATATTTCAGAAAAATGGATAAAGTCGAAACCAAAGAAGAAGATTCTGAAATAATCTCGAAAAGTGTACGCGTTTTCTGAAAGAAATTAATAAAGAGTGTTGATTACATGTCTGCCATTCTGTTTTTTATGTTCCTTGTTAAGAGTAACAATGTCTATTTTCTATAGACATGTAACCTTATTGTTAACGGTTAGTGTTTTACTGAAAAGTTAAATCCATATCTTGACAGAAAATGTTATTACAACGTTTCCTGAACCATAAACATTCTCATGGATAAAGGTTTTCAGAAGCCTTTTTGGTGGTTACTGAATTTTATAACCAAACGTTCATAGAACACACTGTTTCTGGAACCATACAAATTCATATGAATAAATTGTTTTAAAAACATGATATATTTGGGGATGTTTCTTCACATTTATATATATGTTTTGATACACATTTAAGATAGTATTCATTTATGAATTGTGGTAACGATGCTATCAAATATGTATTCACGGTTGAGAAGTGAAGTGAGCAACTAAACTAACGGGTAAAAACGATGATAAGTCGAAATCACTGATATTACAAAACGACAAACCACCATTGTGTAAAAGGAAAGTGAATTTTAATATCAGGTGTATGGGCATGTGTATGGGCATGTGTGTGTATGGGCATGTGTATGTATGGGCATGTGTATGGGCATGTGTATGTATGGGCATGTGTATGTATGGGCATGTGTATGTATGGGCATGTGTATGGGCATGTGTATGTATGGGCATGTGTGTGTATGGGCATGTGTATGGGCATGTGTATGGGTGTATGGGCATGTGTATGGGCATGTGGGCATGTGTGGGCATGGGCATGTGTATGGGCATGTGTATACACATGCATGTTGCCCATACACCTGATATTAAAATTCACTTTCCTTTTACACAATGGTGGTTTGTCGTTTTGTAATGTCAGTTTTTTCGACTTGGTATCGTTTCTTTTGCCCGTTAGTTTAATATTGCAGTGCCTATAAAGTGACGACGTTGGGCCGATGCAGTGCCAATAACGTATGCCGATGTTGAGCCGACGTAGGGCCGATGCAGGGCCGATACAGGGCCATTGAAGTTTGCCAACGTTGGGCCGACGTCTATACGATGAGCAAAACTACATCGGCCCGATGAAGTTTGCCGACGTCGGGCCGATATTGCACACGACGTCGGGCCGATGTCGGGCCGATGATGGCATGCTACCTGGGTATTGTACAGTGATAAAAACACTTAACTGCTACATTAGTTCAGCAGAGTAATGGATTCAGACAGCCATCAGTTGATGTTACTATTGTACAGTGATAAATACTTACCTGCTACCTTAGTTCAGCAGTCATTGATTCAGACAGCCATCAGTTGATGTTACTATTGTACAGTGATAAAAACACTTACCTGCTACATTAGTTCAGCAGAGTCATTGATTCAGACAGCCATCAGTTGATGTTACTATTGTACAGTGATAAAAACACTTACCTGCTACATTAGTTCAGCAGAGTCATTGATTCAGACAGCCATCAGTTGATGTTACTATTGTACAGTGATAAAAACACTTACCTGCTACATTAGTTCAGCAGAGTCATTGATTCAGACAGCCATCAGTTGATGTTACTATTGTACAGTGATAAAACACTTACCTGCTACCTTAGTTCAGCAGAGTCATTGATTCAGACAGCCATCAGTTGATGTTACTATTGTACAGTGATAAAAACACTTACCTGCTACCTTAGTTCAGCAGTCATTGATTCAGACAGCCATCAGTTGATGTTACTATTGTACAGTGATAAAAACACTTACCTGCTACCTTAGTTCAGCAGTCATTGATTCAGACAGCCATCAGTTGATGTTACTATTGTACAGTGATAAAAACACTTACCTGCTACCTTAGTTCAGCAGAGTCATTGATTCAGACATCCATCAGTTTTTTAAAATCAGAAACAAATAAATCAGTTCAGCAATCCAGACACTTCTGCCATGAAGTCCAAATGTTAACAAAACATCACAAACACAGTGAAATGAATCAAAGGATATGCACATGAGATGAAAGAGAGTTGAGACTCTGACCTATCACATATAGACTCTTGATATAGAATTATGCTCAAATCTTTAAAGGGCATTTAAAAGTGTAATGCATAAGAAAAGCAAGATTTATGGATGTCAACTTTTCAGAGTTATGCTTGCTACTTCATCAGGTGATGAAAGAGCAAGTATAAACTCCGAAACGCTGTGTTATTCACAATAATGAAGTTGACATCCATAAATCTTGCTTTTCTCAGAATAATGCTGAAACTGTGGACCACTGAATTGCAGAATAATGCTGAAACTATTGACCACTGAATTGCGGAGTAATGCTGATACTATTGACCACTGAATCGCAGAATAATGCTGATACTATTGACCAGAGGTATAAAACCACATTAACCACCTGTAACTGGAACAGGTGATTCAGCAACTGAATCATACAAAAGTCATTATGTATAGAACAGTACATTATCTTCCTCCTCCTTTTTTCGGTTGGCATTTTAAATATTATGTTATACATTAACAATTTGTTTCTTATAATCATGGAAAATCATTTTTGGAATAGGTAGAGCCATGCTTGTTGTAAGGCATGACTTAATGGATCACCTGGTCAAGCTGGCTGTGATGATACATGTCATTGTGACACCACAGCTTGAAGTGATGCTCATGACATCACTCACTGATACAGTCTTAAATCTTAACAGATAGGTGTCATATACCAAAGATAAGCCAAATTTTGAGGACCAAAAAAGCAATCTGTAGAAAGGGGTTGGCTTATCTACAGGTTACACTTTCTTTTAAGGGGTAAGAAAACGACATTGCTTTCCTTCATGTGAACCAATAAGAGAAGACGACTTTGTCAGTAAAGACATCAAATTTGCAGGTAGTTGAATTATTGCTGAGAATGACATTAAACCACAAATAAACAAGCATAACACGTGTAATAAAACTAAAGTAGCTCCTGTATATTTTCTGCTTGATATTTCTGTATGAAGTTAATCATCTTCATGTTATGGCTTGTTTCTGTAATACTAAGATATATCTTAAATCTATATTTTCACAATCTTATTTTTGATCCGACATAAAAGTATTTTGTGAGGCATTTTGTTTTAGAAGTATTGACATAACTCAAAACTTATTGCTTGTAATTAGCATAAAATGAGAAGATTACATCTATCTTTCAAACTGTAATTATCTCGGTGTTGTTAAGTCACACCCGATGGAGGTAACCCATGAAGTATATATTTACATCCTTCATAAACCTTGCTGAGTAGATGCTGTCCGTACTGGGCCTCGGCAGTGTGATTTGCAGCAGCTTTCACTGCTATACTTGACATTGGAAAAGCAAACAATTTTGCAGTCAAACTCTTTCATGGTTTAAGCAATATCAACAGGGTTGTTGAAGATATTTTGGATTCTGATTAAAAGAAAATAACCTTTGTCGCGACAAGTAGAATGATCAATGGCAATGAAGGTTTACATGTTTAGCTTGCTGTAGTATTAGATTAACACAAGTGGCTTAATGCTTGGTGTTTCTATTCAATTTCTTCAAGTTTTCATTCTTCAGAAAGTGATAGTTACTGCACATGTTGGGAGCGATTGATGTGGATGAACAAATACCCCTTGGGAGAATAGTTCTTGGGGCAGGAGGGTTAAGATGTTACCAAATACGTGAATAAGTGAATATGTTCCATATCAGCATTATTCAAACACAGTGTCTGCAACAGCCAACTTTCTCGGGGTTCGATAACGAATATCATTTCCTTGATGGTGGTGTGTTAAGGACTGAAGCAACTATCATTTTACTCTGAGGGTTTTCACTGACTTGCCGATCGGGAACGGATCAATACAGGGACGATGGTCAATGTACCAGCGTCTGTCCAGGAACCTCATAACAAAGACCAGACCACTGCCTGTCGTGCAATTCCTCACGACACAGCCAACTGTCTTGTACATTTCTGTTGGATCACCCTGCCATGGTATTAACCATGTCGCAGTTTCTCATCAGTGGCCTTGAATGAACGAACAGCTCTTGTTGCCACAGGCTTGAGGTTGTGGGAGAGTTTTAGATGTGAGCTTGTATTTGCATCGTACGTCTTCGTTAGTTGCATTGGTGTCTGTAGAGAAAGCCTTGTGGATGTAATGTGTCAGGGATTGCCGATCACATGACTGTGTATCTCGCGAGGACAGGGAGCTTATCCAGCGAGTTGGGATTACCAGAGTCGTGCAGACAATCTCTAGTCTTTATGAGGTAAGTCAGTTTCTTCACTCTCTTGTTCATTCCATGTATATTTCCTAATGCAGGGTCAATGTTTAAGCGATTATTTGCCCCAAACCAGGCTTCACCTCAGTAGTATAGCTATATTTCTTGATAGCTGAACTGATTTATTTGTTTCTGATTTTCTGAAGTGGATATTTATGACTGAATCACAACATTAGCTGTTGTCTGAAGCATTGACTCCACAACCATGGAACTAACAGAATGAATTAGTGTTTTTATCACTGTTTGATTGTTGATGCAAGTCTTGAATATACATGCCCTTCAATGACTGGGACTGCATGGTACAGTCAGGGTTGTCAGCATTCTTGTGTTGGTCAAGATTTAAGGATTACTTGTGGCTGTTTTTTCCCATTATTTTCACTTTAATATTTACAAATTGAAATCATACAAGTCAATATTTCTTAATATCCTTTGTGCAACTGATGGATTGTTAACTTGGAAATTTTCAGGTGAAGTCAAGATATTTTATAGATTGCAACATTTGTCTTCTGTTATGTTGTGCTAATGTCAAGCAGGATGATGCATTGCAGCATCATAATAGATTGAAGTAGTTGTCATCCATTAAATATCTTGTTATACTGTTGTTTGAGATTGGTATAAGGATCAATATGGAAACTCACATCATAGAGAATAAACAAGTTGCCTTACTGTTACCATTACCAACTAAAAATGCATATCAACTGTTTCACATATGTTTCTAATAACTACTTTTCTGTACTGTTTTCATTTAATTAAAAAAAAAACATCCTCATGCTTTAGCTGGCATTGCTCCATTTCACTAACTGCTAAAAACT